GTTTCCTACTTTTACAGACAGGCATTCCAACCCCCATTGAAAAAAAAATTCTTTTCCTTTAAAAATCCTACTCTTACTGAATAGAATTCCCACTTATAGAACTTTATTCCTCCTCCTATAGACGTCTCCTTCTTCTGAATAAGAATTCCAACTATATAGAATTCCTACTTTTATAGAACAGTTATTTGAATCCCATAGAATTCTTATTATAAATATATCTTATCATAAAGGCATTCAATTTGCTCTAGAATTCCTAATTCCTAACTCCCATTCCTACAAAAGGAATTCCAAATGTTGTAACAAAGGTATAAAACCCCTCACTGAAGAGACATTCCTAGAGTTCTAGAATTCCTACTCAGATAAATTACGATTCCCATTCCAACAGGACAGAATTCCAAGTGCCAGAGCAAAGTAATCCCACTCTTATTGAACAGAAATTCCTGCGTCCATAGAAATCCCCAAACGAAAGGGGAAGGAGGAAGGAGGAAGAAGAGAGAGAAAGAGAGAGAGAGAGAGAGACAGAGAAGTTGTTTTTCCTTTCACAGGAAGCGAAAGCAGAGATCAAAGGAAGGGAAGGAAAAAGAATAAGAGGAGAAAAAAGTGGGGAAGGAAAAGAATAGAAAGAAGAAGAAAGAGGAAGTAAAGAACGAGTTTGGATAAAAGGAAAAAAGGATAGAAAATTTGTTCCTTTCATCGTGTTAAGTGTGAGAAGAAATAATGATTTACTAAGGGAGACAAAAAGGGGGAAAAAAAATAAATAAAAGAGAGAAGAAGAAGATGAAGAAGAAAAAGAAGAAAGAGAAGGAATTAAAAAGCGAATGCGTGTTAGGAGTAAGAAGAAATAATATTTTAGTAAGGAAGGGAGAGAAAAAGTGTGAGAAGAAAAAAGAAAAAAGTATGAGAGAAAAAAAGAAAAAAACAAGAATGAGAAGGAAATAAAGAAAAAGAAAATTAATAAAGAAAAGGAGAAGAATGAGAAGAAAATAAAGAACGAATTTGGATAAGAGGGAAAAAAGGATAGAAATTGAGTTCCTTTCATCGTGATAAGCGAAAGAATGAATAATAGTTTAGTAAAGAAGGGAGAAAACAGGAATGAGAGAGAGAAAAAAAGAAGAAGAAGAAAATAAAGAGCAAATAAGTATAAAAAGGAAAATAATTATAGTAAATTAAGAGTAAGAGGAAATAGTAATTTAGTAAGGATGAGAGAGAGAAAAGAAAATTAAGGAAAAGAGAAGGAAAAGAAGGACAAAGGAAAGACGGAATAAGGGATAAGAGGAAAATAATGATAGTAAATGAGTTAGTAAGGAATGGAGAGACAAAAAGAATGAAGAAAAATAAGAAGGCGAAATGAAAGAGTGAATAAAGATAACTAAAAAGAGCTCCTTTTATCACGTTAAGAGTAATATTTTTTTTTAGTAAAGATGGGAGAGAAAAACAATGAAAGAAAGAAAAAAAAACAACAAACAAGAAGAAGGAGAAACAAAAGAACGAACTAGGATATAAGGATAAAAAGGAAATAAGTTACTTTCTTCGTATAAAGAGATTAATACTAACATTAATTAATATCATCATTAATAATTAAAATTAAAAATAATATTAATATTAATAATAAGAATTAATATTCATAAAAGAAAAGACAAATAAAAACAGTAAATTTAT